TTAAAAAGATGAAGAGAAAACTAAATGAACTGTATCATAGACATCATTAAGTTAACTTGATAGGCTCTCCCTGGTGGCACAGCGGGTTAAAGCACAGCACTGAGAAGCTTAAGCCACTTCTGCATGAGTTCGATCCCCGCCTGCCCCGGAGGTGACCACATGGCGCGGCAGACCTCTCCTGACCCGCCCGCTGCTCCCCTCAGCAGTGTACTTCGTCCATCTGCCTGTTCTGCTCCCCACTCTGTCTCTGGTGAATCCTCTCACCCTCCGCATCTCTGGCCTGCACCCCAATTTTGTATGAATAAATAAATCTTAAAAAAAAATTAACTTGATAGGGGCTTAGAAACTGAGCGAGGTCTAGTGACTAGGTCATGTGTTGGTGAGTAACAGAGGCTCAGGAAAGCCAGGCTGAGTTCTCCCAGCTCCTTACTCAGGGCCCCACACCCTCCTCGGCTCCTGGGCCTCCTAACTATAAGAAGGGATGTGAATAAATCAACCTTCTAAGAAGCGTACTTGTATTTTCGATCCGACTTAGATTGTCATAAATGAAGACAGTTTTTACTTGAAGACTGCAGCAGAGTTTCCTACCTTCCCACTGCTGATGCTGAGGGTCAGAATGCCCTAGGTGGGTGGTGCGGGGTTGTCTTGTACACTATTGAAAGCCTGACAACAGGCTTCGTGGCATCAAACACCACTAAGTGACACAATGCAATGTCTCCAGATATCACCCAGTGTCCTCTGGGGGGAAAAAGCTCCCCATAAAGCATCAGTGGCAAACACTCCTATCTCCTCTGTAACATTTCAACCCTCAGGAAGCCTTCTATCCTTGATGTAAGCCAGAAGCCAGAAGTCAAAGATGGTCTCTAGCTTTTGACATGTTACATGCAGAGGGGAGAAGGTGCTTTGCAAATTTCCTCTCAAAGTCACAGCAGTGACTCTATCTCATCCAGAAATGATCTGGCCAAGGATTATTAGAAAAGGAACAGAAAATAATGGTGAAGTGAGATGAAAATAATAAAACTGGGAGGGAAAAAAGGGAAATGGAAGGAAGAAAGGTCAGCAGAGAGAAAGGATTTTAACATTCCAGTATTTGTGGGACAGAGCGACCCATTATAAGATAAAGTGGCATAGTTTCATCAGGCATAATTTTTTTAAAAGGCAACCCAGTCTGAGGAAAAGGGTCAAGAACTTTCTACCAATTCATTGTGAGCCTTTGGGAAAAGACCATTGTCCCCAAAGATGGACCCCTCAGGGGAGTTCTATGTGAAGCTCTTTGTGAAGGTCTCATATGCTTAAAACTGGAAAGTCATTTGAAACAGCTTATCCTGGAGTTTCACCCACTTAACTGTTCCTGGTGTACAATGAATGTGAATGAAGTTCTGAAGGGGCCTTTAAAATAATAGGCATCTTGTGTACAAATCTATTTTCTTTAACTGCTACTTCCCAAAAATGTACTGAATCACAAGACACCCCTTGGGAAAGAGAGAGCACTGGGTATTTTTCACCACTACTCTCCTCCAGCTGTAGATCTGACTCAGCTCCAAAATATGTGGACAGCAGCACACTCATTTCTGTATCTGATCACAGATGTAGATTACATTTGACAAGACAAGACAGTTACTCCATTACTATAGTACTGAAGCTTTTGCATATGCTTTAAAATGCTTGATCTAAAAAGGTTCTTTTAAAAAATGCTTTTCAGGCCCTCCCTGGTGACGCAGCGGGTTGAAGCACAGCACAAAGAAGCTAAAGCCACTTCCACATGAGTTCAATACCCGCCTGCCCTGGAAGTGACCACATGGCATGGCAGACCTCTCCTGGCCCGCCCGCTGCTCCCCTCAGCAGTGTGCTTCGTCGATCTGCCTGTTCTGCTCCCCACTCTGTCTCTGATGAAGCCTCTTGCTGCCCCCTGAGCCTCTGGCCTATACCCCAGTTCTGTATGAACCGGTAAATAAATCTTTAAAAAAAAAATGCTTTTCAGTACCCCTGGTTAAAATTTTTTAATATAAAACCCTCTATGTCTATGATTTTCCATTTTCAAAGTGCATGGGAATGACCAGACAAATCTCCAGAAAATGTAGATTCTAACCCAAGAGGTCTAGGTCTAGCTTAAGATTCCGTATTTCTAACAATCTCCCAGATGGTATTGGTCCTGGGACCTCACTTTTTTTTCTTTTATGCTTTTTCAACTTGGTTGTAATCCCATGGACTTCCCACTACCACTTCACCCGTGTGTTATCACCACAGTCCCGTGTTCTCGTCCCACCCCATTTTGATCCTATTCCCCTCTCGACCACTGTAGAGTGTCTCTGGTTTATAGTTGTTTATTGATGTTAGTTTTTACTTTATTACAATTACTTTTTTTTTTTCCTGACCCCTTACACTCCTGCTAGAGTGAAACCACCCAGTGGGAATGCAAACTAGTCTAACCACTATGGAAAGCTGTGCGGAGGTTCCTCTAACTGCTAAAAATGGAGCCTCCATATGATCCATCAATTCCACTCCCAGGCTTCTATCCAAAGGACACAAAAACATTAGTTAAAAGGAACACTATGAATAGGAAGATTCTAATATAGCCCCCAAATCACCTACCTCACTGTATTGGTTTGCTCCTATAAAATTGTGGAGGGTTGATACCCACTGTTTATCCGGGAATTCTAAATTCTCTTGGTAGCCATAATCTAGCTTCAGCTCCACAAACTTCTCCAATACAGACATTGAGGCAGTGCCCCAATTCTGTGCTGTCCCTCAAAATGCCACATCCATTGCATTTTCCTGATTTGGTCTCATTGCTCCCTTTGTCTATTGCCAAAATCTTTGCCCTCCTTCAACATACTTCAAATTTTGAAGCCTTCACCAAGCCCTCTAGGAATAAAGTATTTGCCCACTCATCATACCTGCACTTGGCATTCAACTATCTATGCAGGTTTATCTATTTTCTGAAAAGTTTTTACCCATCTGGTAAAATTATTCCAAAAACTACCTAAACTCTTAAAAACCATACTCAGGCCCTCCCTGGTGGCACAGTGGGTTAAAGCACCGCATTGAGAAGCTAAAGCCACTTCCGCATGAGTTTGATTCCCGCCTGCCCCGGAGATGACCACATGGCATGGCAGACCTCTCCTGGCCCGCCCGCCTCTCCCCTCAGCAGTGTGCTTCATTGATCTGCCTGTTCTGCTCCCCACTCTGTCTCTGGTGAAGCCTCTCGCCACCCCTGAGCCTCTGGCCTATACCCCAGTTCTGTATGTACAAATAAATAAATCTTTTTTTAAAAAAAAAAACATACTCAGTTTTCTCCCCTACATGTCCTGGCCACTAAGGGGTGCGACCCATCAGTCAGTCCTCAGAGGAGGTAATAACTTAGGACTGCCCTTCCCCCACCCCCCAGACTTTTGGCCACCAGATGAGTATTTATTTTTGGGTGGTTTCGGACGCCTTGGAATCTCTCCCATACACTCAAGGACATCTCTTCTAGAAGGCCCAGGGCTGCACTGTGGACTTTTTTTCAACGTCTCCTAGCTAGCTCTCATCAGCATACACTACCTCCCATTTTCCAAAAACAAATATTACTTGTTAAAATTCAGATTCTAATCCACGAGGCTTGCACTGGGACATGAAAAATGAAACTTGTTCCTTGTCCTTCAAACCATCCTACTTCCTGTTTCTCTATTGGTACTTACAACAAAACTCCTCTGAAGACTTGGTCTCCATCACTTCACCTCACCCATACCTCCAAGATGGTGCCTCTCACAGGTTCCACAGACTGAGGTGCTGCTCAAGCAGCAGTCCCTCCTCAGACTCTTGGAGCTTTCTCATCTCTATCTGCCCTTTCTCCACAGGAGGTCACATCAGTCGCGCAGCTTTCAATGTTATAAACCCATGGTGCCTAAATGTCTGTGTCCTTGAAATCTAGACTCATCCATGCCCTCAATGTAAACATGGCTAAAATTAAATTATTGACAAAGCTCCTCGCACAAGCCTTTCTTCCTCTCCACTGTTACTTCATATAGTCGAGCTCCTTCCTCTGAGTTGCTCAATCCATAACCCTTAGGTGAGCATCCCAGGCTCTTCTTTCTCCTCCATGTCCTGTCAGACCTTACGGCAAATGGGCCCCTCCACAGCCCCCATGTTATAGCTCAGGTCCACACTATCTTGCCAGGGTCCTGACTACCCTTACCCCACTGCCACCACCATGGTCTGTCACCAGAAATGGTGACACTGGGGCAGGGGTCTGGCTGTGGGACCAGCTGGGCCCTGAACATCCAGGCACAGACGGTAGAAGAGGCGCTGTTCCTTTGTGCCCAAGGAGCAGTCAGGAGGCCAGTGAGGCTGAGCCTCCACATAAACCAGAGCAAGCCTTTTGAATTATAAATCAGGCCGAAACATTCTCTTCAAAATTTCCTGAACACTTCCTTTCCTCTTCAGAATAAAACCCAATGGGCTTTCCAAGGCCTTTATGTGTTGTGAGATCTGAGCTATGCTCAGTAACAGCTCATGTCCTCCGGCACTTACACCCTCTCCTCCTGCTCAGCCTCACTGGCCTCCCGACTGCAGCCTCTTCCACACTCTGTGCCTGGACATTCAGGGCCCGGCTGGTCCCATAGCCAGGTCTCAAGCCCAGTGTTACCCTTCCTGGCTTCTGGGTGAATCAGACTCTTCTCAGGATCAGCCTCCTGCTCTGACTTAGTCTTCCTTTTTCTGTGTGGGGTCTGCCTCTCACTAAAGCAGAAACGACATGAGAGCTAGGGCTTTCTTATATTTTTTGGCTCATGGCTGTATCCCTGAACAACAATCAGGTGCATGATGCATTGTTACTGGATGAATAAATGAATATTATTAGATAATCAAAAGGTAATTCTAGCTATGCTTAGTGGGGGAAAAAAAAAAAAAAAAAAAAAAAAAAACCATGGCAACACCCAGAGGAATCATGTAACTAATGAGCTGGGTTTTTTCAGATTGTAAATTCTGGCTAAGAGCTGGGATGGAGAAAAACTACTTACTTTCTGATCACTGTCTTGGACTCTGAAGAACTCTGGCTTCCATCCTCTTCACAGTTTGGGCTTGTCAAGTTTCCATACCTTTACAGATAAAAACAAACAGACAAAAGCAGTCAGTGGTGCTGGAAGGCAACTCCACTCACTTTCAAGCCCCAAATAACAGTTGAGCTTTTTAGGAGTAATTAAGTAGTTTCCTTATTTATGAAAGAATACTATCACATGAAACCATATTACTGGTAGCTAGCCAATGGGTATATCTGTATTTCTAAAGGAAAATGACTTAAAAGCAGACACACTATTTTAAGCTTTCACAATAATAGCTAACATTTGCTTTTTAGGGTCTTTGAAATGAAGTGAGACATCTCCCTCTAGCAGGAGTATTGCGATTCCAGGTTTCCCACAAGCTACTGAGACCAATGCTTGACCCTTGGGTCACACCAGCACACAAGGACCAGCACGCTGCGTATGAGCCTGGCTCCTTGCAGGGGAGTCCTTTTGGAGGATTATGGACAAAATTCTGGCCCTTCAAATAATGGCTGAGATGAGCCAGGGACCGAAGAACAGAATTCTTAAGCCTTTGCGATCAGGAGGACAGCTATGGGAACACTGAAGCCAGGCTGATTACACACAGTGACGGGAGGAGACCCGTTTGGGGGGAAACACTGGTATTTCTGCATTCTGTCTCCTTCAAACTCAAAATTTACTGAACAAGTGATCAGTCCCTAATCACACTATACACTATCTGTCCCCAAGCAAGCCTGTTTTGTGCAAAGTTAGCATGTTTCCCATGGTTCAAACTGTACATTTAGTAAAAGCACTTTAAATTCTTGAGGTGTCTTTATATCGACTTATAAAGCCTAAATGGTTCCTGCAGTTTCTCTTCCATCACTACAGAGCCAGAGATTCCCTGGCATTTTGCAAGCTATTCAGCTCAAAGTTCTGATTATAGAAATTCTATTGGTGGGTTTACATTTTTAAAGAGCACACTTTTATTTTCTGCTAATGGGATTAAAGGCCCCAGTATCCTCATGGTCCCTTGTTCCCAGGACTTACAGATCCTTTTAAAAATAAAACCCCATCTGGCCTGACCCAGTGCCAGTCCATCTGGGCTCCCTGTCACCCTATCCTGGCGGGTTCCAGTTTGCACCCTTAGGCATCAGCCCCCAGCCCTCCACCTGCTCCTATCTCCAGCTCATCAGCCTTATGGACTTCTAGGCCTCCCAAAAGTTATTTTCCACTGACCTCCGCCCTCCCTGTTCCTCATTCTGTTCCACACCTGCTATTTAGAGGACTTCCAGGGCTACCCTTTGCTTTCCCTAAGATAAGAATTGTTAGATTAAGGTTTACTCCGTCCCATGTGAGCAAGGCAGGCATAGGAAACAAGACTCCTAGTAAATTAACAGAGTGGGATTTCTTGGCACTCTCCCTGGCCACCATCGTAGTGAACAAACCATGCCCTCCTTTCTCTCAGAGCAGACTCTGTAGTTTATTTCAGAAGGAAATCCGAGGGTGGAGGCAGAGAAGCGGGGGCTCTCAGACAACCACTGGATCTCACCCATCTGGCCCAAGTGACCCAGGAACCCTCCCCTTCAGTCCTCAATGACTTCCTCTTTGTTTCTGTCCCACTGTGGTTAGCCCATAATTGTCTCTTTGGTAATTCTGGAAAGATTGCATCTTTTACCAACTGGAAGCCATGAGAGATAAAAACAAAAAAGGAAGACCCTCATCTAGGAAAGATACAAAATTTACCACTTTACATGGTTTTCTCTTCAGAGTAATCCATGCTGTTTCCTGCCCCTCCCATTCTCTTCCTTACTCCAGCTTCTTGGGTCCTCATGCTCATCCTCTGCATTTTTCAGACTCTTTACTGAGCTCTGCTTGGATGGCAATGACACCCACTACAGCTCCTCCCCCAAATGGGACACCTCAGGAAACATCAGCGGATGTGTCAAGGACAGGTGACTCACTTTGGTGGACAAGTTCTCTCTCTTTAACTAGCCTGCCTTCTGCTCTGAATATAAGCCATGAAGCCCACAGAGTATTTCACCTGCACCTGACTATGGTGAGTCTACAGGCTCACCATCAGGACCAGAGGGACTGAGAATAGTGGATGAGAAGTATCAAAAATAAGGCCAGTGTGACAGAGCACATGTCTCAAAGTCAAAGCTTGAGGTCAGCCCAAATTCTGTTCCATCTGACCCACCAGGAACATCTCTTGGCTTGGTCTTTGTGACATAAATGAATCCAAACTTGCCTCATTCCTTCTACACTAGCCCAAACTAGCAACGTCTCTTGATGCACCAGCCCTCAGACTGGCCTCCTGACTTTGCCCAGCCTCCTGTTCCATGGCAATTGGATCCCATTACTGCCCTGGGAAAAGACCAGAGTCTTACCTGTGTCACAGGCCCTGGGTGACCTGGCCCCTTACCACTCTGATCCTGACCCAGTCTTCCTCCTTCACTCACTTCCCTAGCTCTGTGCCGTTCCACCCACAAGCCAGGCTTCCTCCTGCCCCTCCTCTCCAGCCTCAGCCGATGGCCCACACCCTCAGCAACTTCAGGTCAATGGCGCCTCATCAGTGAGGTCTTCCTTGACTGTTGACCTAACATACAAACCAACTCTAAAACCAAGGCTTTATTTTCTTGCTGAGGGTTTAAGAACACAATGTAATTTAGTTTGTTGTTGCCTATTAAAACATTAATGCCACAGGCAAGGCTTTTAGTCTCTTTTGCTCAGCATTTAGACCTGGAATCCAACAAACATGGTGATGGCCCTTTGTTGGCAACAAATGTCTCCTGGGCTTCTCTCAGCAGACAGGGATCAGACTTTGAAAGGACGGGGTTCAGCTCTATCCTTGCAGTGACATCCTCAGGCCTCTTACTTATGCAAGTGTCTCAACCTGCCTGTGGCTTTGTTCCTCAAGGCCTCAGAGTAGAAGCAAGCCTTAGGAGAGCTGTGATCATTCCAAAAATCTAAAACTAAAATGCAAAATAATAATAATAATAAAGGTATAAGATCTTATAACTGAGATCTCGAAGGCATAAGCAAGAAGAAAATGCAAATAATAAAATGTATATACAATTTTACAAAGGAGACTGTTAGAAATGAGATAAAAGCAACAATCCTGTAACCTGCTGGGACTTACTAGGTGAGGAAGGTATAGTTGTTTGTCCCTGTACTTTTCCTAGCATTAGGAGAATTAATGTTTCATAGAAAAAACTTAGATGAGCATTGAATCAATAGCACTTTAATGTTCAAGCTGGGTTATTTGAGAGTCAGTTTTACAAGATTAAGAGTGCTTCTTTGAGGTTTCATGAATCTCCTCATAGCTTCCCATTAAACTCATTTACTCCAGAGGGGTAGATACAGGGTGTGTAAGTGTCTGTTTTTAATTAATGGTGGCAGAATAGCTACAGACAAACCTGGCAACAGTGTCACCTCCAATCTCTGCAAAGGATTTAAGATCAAAGCTCCAACCTCTTAAGAAGGCTTACCCAGGTGAAACTGCCCTTCTTTAAATGGTAACTCATAAGACTGAAATTAAAATACAAACTGTCAAAATAGCTTTTGACATGCTTCTCTCTAAATTACAAAGCAAAAGAGATAAATGTGTCTTAAAGTACAGCTTCAGTCAGCTATGTTACTGCAGCCTAAAAAATGCTAGAAAAGGGGAAAAAAACTGATACCATGTTTAACTGGTTGCTGATATTTAAGAACATGGTTACATTCCAGAGAGGATGAATGTATTACTTGGAGCCTATTGGGGCAGATCAAATGTTTAATATATATTTCAAAGGACAACCAGGTATTTATGGGTCAAAGAAATCCTAAGATCAAACTGTGCCCTGGAACAGTGTTTCTGGTCCCCAACAGAAAAGTTTCCAAGTCACACCAGACCGGAGTGGGGTGGAGGGGTGGTCCCGAAGAATCAAGTTCCACTTGATCACAGCAAATGATCCAATAATAACAGCAGTTAACAATTACTGCCAAGCGCTGTGTTAAGCACTTTCTATGGCTTGTTTTATTTAATCTCACAAAAATCCTGTGTGGTAGTAGTAGTAGTAGTATTCCTACTGAACAGATAAGAAAATGAGACCCAGAGAGCTTAAGCAATCATTTCCTTGAAGATGTAGCTGATGAGTGGGGCAGCAATACAAATCTTGACAGTCAGCCCCTAAATCCCAGTTTGAGTCCTTATCTGAACATACAAACTATAGCTACTGTATTTATTTATCTGTTTCCACCAGATGAAACATTCTTTGAGGTTAATAATCTTGAGTTTCAATTATTCAGTTATTCGTTCGCTGCTTAAGTCCTCATCCAATGAATATTATTCCTAAACCTCATGTTCAGGTACTTTCAGAAAGCACTGGGGATACACCAGTAGGCAAACCAAAGCCCTGTTTTTATGAAGAGCAAGCTGTAGTGGGGGCAGAGAGGCAGTACGCTAATAATTAGTCAATAAACACGAAGTCAGCTAGTAAAACATACAGAGGGGCAAAATAAATCAGGTAGAGTGAGCAGACATGACTGGAGAGTTGAGGGTGGCTGTTTTACCTGGGGTATTCTGGAAAAGTCAAATGTGAACATGGTACTTCAGCAAAATCCTCCAAAAAGTGAGGGATGGGCTATGCAGATCTCCAGAGTCTTCCAAGCAGAGGGTAGGAGAAGCCAGTGAGAAAAGGCCCTGGACCAGTGGCAAGAAGGTGAGTTTGAGGAATATGGAGAAGGGCAAAGAGGAAAGAGCAGAACAGAGTAAGTAAAGGGAGAGGAGATGGGGTGTGTTAGTGACAGGGAAGGAGGGCTTGGGTCTAGCTGGCCATGGATGGATTTTGTTTTACTTTTCTCTCTTGTTCACGGATATATCCCCTAGGCCTGGAATAGAGCCTGCTCTTAGGAGACACTCAATAAACATTTGGTACATGAAGTAATTAATTCCTTCCACTACCATGAAAGAAAGAAAGGCTAGAAAGGGAAGAAGCTACTTACTGGGGAGGATGAAAGAACAGAGTGGAGGAAGTCAAGGCAAGAGAGACCTCCCAGGAAGTTGTTGACTCAAGGACCACTGGGAGTCTGATTTT